GGAGGCCTGGAACAATGAAAGGTCTGACGTGTCCAGAGTTGCCCTCAGGGTCCTCCCAGGTTAGCAATTGGGAACTCTGGAGGGTATTGGTGGACTGGCCAATGCCTTGGAGGTGGGTCAGAGAGGGCTGGCAGGGCCAGGAAGGGGGCCAAGAGGCCTGGGAGATAACTGTGGAGTCAGCCCCAGAGTCCAGAATGCCCACAAAGGCTTTGCCATTGAGCTTAAGTTTTAATTGTGGGCGTTCTTGTGAAATTCTTTGAACCCAATAGACATCTGAGGACCCTGGTGTGGAGGCGCCCCGGGATGAGCCCAGTGAAGGCGAGGTCGTGTCCAATGGGAGGGGAAGGGCCTGTGCAAGGCGCTGTCCCTGGCGAATATGGAGGGGGCCTCGGGAGCTTGCAGCCAAAACCTTAATCTCTCCCACATAGTCATTATCAACAATCGAGGGGAAGACAGTGATGCCCTGGAGCGTGGCAGAAGCTCTGCCCAAGATGAGATAGTAAGTTTTAGGCGGAGGGGGGCCAAAGACCCCTGAGGGAATTATCTGGACTCCTTTATCCGCCTCTAATATTGTATCAGTGGAGGCACAGAGCTTCATTCCCGCGCTCCCTGGGGTAGCCCGGCGGAGGGCTGTGACTGGCTTGGGAGCTGCTGTTGAAGGGTCTGGCGTGGCCCCGCCTGGCTGTTCCCCGAGGCCGGCAGGGAGGTGACTGGTTGAGGGGCCCGGGGCTGGCCCCTCACTCCGTTTCCCGGAAGGGGAGAAAGAGGGTTGCCCTGAACATCAGTCCTAGAGCGGCAGGTATTAGCCCAGTGTCTACCCCGCCTGCAGCGAGGGCAGAGGGCAGAAGGCAAAGGGCGCTCTCTCCCCGCTTGGGGGAGGGCTCTATCTGAGGGGCACTGGCGAGCAAAGTGGCCAGTTTGGCCACACCGAAAGCAGGACGTGTGATTCTGGGCGGCGCCAGTAGCAGCACCCACAGCCAGATTTATAGACTGGGAGACTTTCTGAGCAAAGGGGTCTACATCTTTGCAGAGTTTAATCATTTCATCTAGGTCTTTGTCCTTATACCTGCCCCTGAGGGCGGTCCTGCATGCTAAATTGGCGTTCTCATAAGCCAATTGCAAAAGGAGTTTGTTGTTCTCCTGACCCGTCCCCCAAGTTCTCTCCGCTGCCTCCAGGAGGCGAGCGATGAATTCTGAGAACTCTTCATTAGCCCCCTGAGTAATTTTCGTTAAAGGGGAAAGGACTGAACCCTTCATAGGAATCGCTCTCCAGGCACTCATGGCGGCCGAAGAACTTTGGGCCAGGAGGCCCAAAGAGAATTTCTGTTGCCTCTGATCTGTGGCATACTTGCCCCTCCCTAAAAGTTTATCGAGAGTCCACCTCGAAGCGGGGCGGCGGCCCGAGGAGAGATTACTCCGAGCCTGTTGGCGGCAGCGATCAGCCCAATCAGCCTGCCAGGAAAGGAACTGGCCACGAGTTAGCACGGCCTGGGCGACTGAAAACCACTCATTGGGGGTCAAATAGCCGCCGCCACCCAGGCTTTCTAGGAGAGACAGCGTAAAGGGGGCGTTCGGTCCATAATCACGGACCGCCGAGTTCAAATCTTTGAGTTGTTTAAAACGGAGCTTTTTAAAGACTGTGGCGGGGGGAGCAGGCGCAGGAGGAACGGGAGCGTCCGGGGGAGCGGGTGTTTCCTCCTCGCTTTCGCTTCCTCCCTCCTCTGAAGCACCCTCGTCCGAGGAATCATGAACTGGGCCCGGGGGAGGGTCACCCGCAGGGGGCGTGGGATTTGTGGGCGGGGACCCCTGGTCAGTTGTGGAAGAGGGCTGGGGGTCCGGAGCAGGGTCTGAGGACCCATGGCCGGAGCGGGTAACCGGAAAAGCCAAGCGCAAGGGAGGCTGGGGCGCACAAAGAACTGAAAGGCGCGCGACCTGATCCTGAAGGCGGAGAATGTCAGTCAGTTCCCGAAGCTGATCAGAAAGGTGAGCGTGAATGGAAGACAGAGAAGCGGGCAGGTCTGGCCCAGATATGAGGGGAAAAGTCAAAGTTCTTAGAGGAGGCTGATCAGGAGCATGTCGGCGGGCAGCTTCCACCTCAAGGTTGGCTGTATCAGGAAGATCTAAGGAATCAGGCCGGGGGAGCTGGGAAGAGGGCGAGAGAGGGGACGCGGCGGCATCAATCCGGCAGGCGGGAGCAGTGGAAGGGAAGACAGGAGCAATAAAAGGAGAAGAAGAAACTTCGAGAGGGGGGCAGGGAGGCGCGGAGGGTAGAACACATGGAGGCGGACGCAAAGGAGAGGAAGAGAGGAGGGGGGGCGATGGCAGAGGGGGATAAAGGCGAACGGGGGAGGGCTTAGGTGAAGTGACCGACACATCAAGGATGGAAAAGGAGTCAGATGTCCGGGAGGGCGGTCTAAGGGGATCAATCTCCCCGGCGGGGCCAGCTTCATTGGTCAAGGTGTCTGATGGATCTTGGTCGCGATTGGAATTTCGCGACCCA